GGGTCTCGAACCCGCGGGCTCAGGCAATCCACTCACCTCAGCCTCCCAAAGGCACGGGATTACAGGCTAAGCCACCGAGCCCGGCTCCATATTTTCAACTGTTTATATTCTTGTGCTCAAAGTGTGGTCATGGGACCAGAAGCATGGATGTTCCCCAGGAACTTGTTAGAAACCCAGAATCCCAGGTCCCACTCCATTCAGAACTCCTGAACCAGGAACTATGTTTTAACAAGGTCTCAGGTGATTTGTGTACACGTTAAAGTTTAGGGAGTACTGGTCTATGTGCACCCATCCATTTGGACACCCTACTGCAACTCAAGCTCAACAAGGACACAGTGAATGCAGATCCTTTTCCCCAGCCGTGAATTTCCGTTTGGTTTTCCTTCCCAAAGAATAGCTTCTGTCCTGTGCCTGGGGTGGGATCAATGTCTCTGCCATGTGACTTCCTCACCTTATAATGGGCTCCTAGTGATGCAGAGCTAGGTCACCTGAGAGAACTTCAGCCTCCTGGGTCAGGGAAACAAGAAAGACAACATGTTCCACGTGGAAGCCAGCCTAAACTTTAGGGCTGACACAAAGAGACTCCCTCCAACATACATGTGGCATGGCTCATTGCCTCACCACCCAGTGCCCTCTCCAATGCTGTGGCCAGTGCCTCTCAGTCCTACTCTAGCGCTGCCGGTATGCCCACACAAAACTGATTCCCTTCCTTAGGGAGAGTTCTCCACTGAGAGGGACATCTTCAGAGGCTGGGGAGAGTATGGCAGTAGGGTGCAGACTGCAGCACAAGTTCACAGTTCCAGGTACACTACGTGTGGTGTAAGTGGGCTTCTTGTGTAATGATGTTCAGTGTATTTATTTATTTATTTATCTATTTATTTGCTTTGTGTGCTCTGAAGCAACTTTGATACATACTATATTTGAATACTTTTTGTTGCAAACTGACTAGCTTGAGCAAAACCAGAATTTAAATAGCAGGGTAAGGAGGTAGTTTATAGAATTAAAAGAAGATATGAAAGAGACGTCCAGGGATTTTAGAAGCCCAGGGGTGGGTTCCTGCACTTCCAGGACCTTCTCCTCCCTGCTTGTTGCTCTCTGTCATTCTCCAAAGATTTTCTGCTTGGCTAAAGATGTTGTTGTAGGCAGATTTGTGCCATCCCAGATGGTTCCTTTGTCCCAAAATTCTGATTAGCACGTAGAGGCCACATGCATGCTTTGGACCATGTTTGTGGCTCGAGCCCCACTCTTGGCCCAGCCTAGGTTAGTCATGCATCTCAGATGCTAAGTGATGAGTAGTCCCCAAAAGCGAGTCTTTAGACTTATTGAGGTATGGGCAAACCCACATAAATATGCGTAAAAAATAGGAAATGCCCATGACATTTCCACTCCCATAAGAGTCAGGAGGTGGTGGGCCTGGCTTTTTCTTATTTCCCAGTGAGCTAGCAGAGTCATGGTGCTTTCGTAAGAGGGGGATTCTAGGAAACAGACCTCTCCTCCACCACAGCTGCCTTAGGTCAGGTCTTGAGGCTTTGGCTCAGCAAGATCATTTTATTCAGGTGGATGCCCCTTTATAACTCCATGCTGCTTGTGACGATTCCATGCCAACCATAGTCAATGCCAAAGTTCTTCACCAAATCTGAAAGAATATGCTCTTTGCCTGTAAGAAGCTGCTGCATTCTGGGCAATGGGTTTGTGCCCATTTAATCTTTACTTAAACATATAAAAAATTGTTTACTTTGAAAATTACTCATTTTTACCTTGATTGTTTCACTTTGAAAACTGTTACTTTGAAAATTACTCATATGTAGTTGCCCTCATGGGTGCCTTATAGTAATAACAAATTGAAGAACTTTTCCTAATGTCTATTTCAATGATACATTTTTCTTTACTTTAGAAATGTTAAAGCATGGCTAGTAATCTATTTGATAGAGGATGAGTGAGTAAATACGTTTTTTTTTTTTTTTTGAGTTGGAGTCTCTGTCGCCCAGACTGGAGTGCAGTGGCCGCTCCCGGCCACCGCAGCACTGACCTGCTGGGCTCCGGTGATCCTTCCGCCTCAGCCTTCCAAGTATCTGGAACTACAGGCGCGCGCTACCACGCCCGGCTAATTTTTTGATTTATTGTAGAGATGAGGTCTCACCAAGTTGCCCAGGCGGGTCTCGAACCTCGGGCTCAGGCAATAAAGGTTACAATGGCAATAATGTCAATTTATCACTTTAGACAAGCACCAGGTACAGATAATCCGTTGCTACCAGTTCTGAGTGGAGCTTGAACAGTTTGCTTCTGGAGAAAGCAGTGGGACAAGCTCTGCTCAGATGCTGTCCACAGCTTCCACAATGGCCTTGGGAAGCATTTTCAGTAGGAGGGGTCAGCAGTTCCCCATTCACAGAACTTAGTGTGGATTTATGCAGCTATGACCAGAGTTTGGGAGAAAGAAGCTGAAATGAATCTATGACTGGTTAGACTCAACTGGGAGTTAGCAGCTTTTCAAAGCATGTGCTCTTTTTAGTGGAAAGTATTTATTTCCATATACAATGACCCTAAGTTTATACTGGTTTTAACGGGATGGTTTGGGAGTGATTCTGCAGAATGGAATTTCTCAGGGGCCTCGGAAGATACTGTCTCCTGCCTGGTGGCCCCCTCCCCACCATCTTCCATTCACATACTCCACTCTGCCTCCCCCTGAGCACCCCCAGGGCTCCACTAACCCCCATATAACTTTTTGTGCAAATTAGGAGAAGACCCTCTGCCCTCAAAATACTATACAACCATCAGCAGGAACATAGTTGTGATAAAATTTCAAACCCCTGTGATAATTATGATATGAATCGTGTGCTAACCATATATTCTCCCCACCCAAAGAGAAGTCTGAGAAATTCTAGTGAGTTCTTCCAGATGATCTTTCTTTCTCAATGGCTGGATGGTTTATTCACTACTTTTGAGATCTGGCTAAGAGGAAGAGAATGAGATGTAGGTGTCATCAAAAAGTGTGGACTTCCACTTTGTAAAGGCAGACCATTTTGCTTCTGGGAAGTCAATATCTGCTTCCAATTTGGACCCTTTTCAAGAAACTCTATGAGAGGCCCTCATAAGCTATCATGGGTCTTTGGGAAAATTGCTAGAGAGCTATGTTTGTGGACAAATATTTGGTGTATAAAGCAATTGCAACAAGACCCTTAAGTAATAAAGACATTTTCATTTTGAAAATACAGGCTGGCTTTAGTATGAATGTCAACACAGAGCATTTGGGTAGCAATTTATAGTTTCCAGAATCTGGCAATATTCATTTTACCCTCAAGAATTCTATGAGGAGTTAAGTCACCTTTACACACCCATGGATTCTGAGGTCATTGAAGGATAAGAAACTTGACCAAGGTCATACCACTGTATAGAGAGCCATAACTCATATCTCAACTGTGTTTAAAATAGATAATTTATCATATATACACGGTTCATTACATAACCAAACAACTTCTATAATGTGCAGTAAATAGCCACCCAGAGTACACTCACACATCAAGAAAGGTCCTTTACAAGTTGGTAGAATGACTCTTCTGGAATGGATCCACCTTCAGCAAGTCCAAGATTCCTGTATGTTGTTCAGATCCACAGAGCAACTTTCCCACATGTCCCCAGCCCCACCCAAACCCATTTGAACTCACAGACAAGGCCATGCTGGGTGCACTTGACAAGAGTAGGGTCTTCAGAACACATTTTTCCAGTTTGGCTTGTACTTCCCACTTTTCTACCCAGAGGAAACCTGGCAAATGACTGTGTTCTCACCCAAATAGGCGTTCAATTAAAGTTAGCTTGTGCTCTACACACTGTGAAGAGGCCCATTTACTCCAGTGTGTCAATTGAGAGACAAATGCCTCTCCTCCTTTGAAAAAGGGTGAATGAGAACTTCTTGGAGAATACACTTCTCTATCCCTATAGGTCCCCCTGTCAAAGGGATAAAGCCTTCTAGAATAGTGTTCTACCTGTCCTGTGGTCTTAGGGATTCACAGGTGGGCAGACAGGCACCATGGTATTTAGAGACAGAGACCTCAGATTTCCTGACAATCTGTCCCTCTGCTCTTACATTGCTAGGGTCAGTGCATCTATTTAAAACAAGAGATGCCATCTTAAGTGGCTGCTTGCAATAGGCAGTTTGCTATGCCCAGTGCCCTAGCAATGTTGTCTGATCCTTTGAAAACCAATGAGTATATATCTGTCATCTTACACTTTGTCCTGTAATGGTATTTCCTCTAGCTATATACTATGAGCTTGTATCACAGATACAGAAAGGGTAGAGGAGTAAAATTAAGATTTAAAAAAGAGTTTAAAAAAGTAAAACCCAAGCCGGGCTCGGTGGCTCAGCCCGTAATCCCATGCCTTTGGGAGGCTGAGGTGAGTGGATTGCCAGAGCCTGCGGGTTCGAGACCCGCCTGGGCCGCGAGACCTCATCTCTACAATAAATCAAAAAATCAGCCGGGCGTGGTAGCGCATGCCTGTCATTCCGGCTACTTGGAAGGCTGAGGCGGAAGGATCGCCGGAACCCAGCAGGTCGAGGCTGCGGTGGCCGGGAGCGGCCACGGCACTCCAGTCTGGATGACCGAGGGAGACTCCAACGCAAAAAAAAAAAAAAAAAAAAAAAGTAAAACCCAAGGAAAGAAAGAGAACATGTGAAAAGGTTTGGCTCAGCAGAAAATCTCCTTGGGTGCTCTCAGAATGAGATTCCTTACGCCTCAGGGCTCAGGCCCAGAACATCTAGTCCTGGGAGATTTTTCCAAAAACTGTGGCCCCTATTCTTTCTTGGGGGTTGGGGGGGAGTCTCATGCCTCTTTGAAGGCAGCTGGAATGCCCTTGGAAAGGAGCTCCCCACCACTCTGAAGGTACAAGTAAAAATACAAAAATAAGGATTTTTGTTTCTAAGCTTTCATAAATAACTGGGTGATAGGTATTAAATAGAACCCAGGAAGAGGATCTGGAATTATAGCTTGTTCTCCTCGAAGAGGATCTGGGCATAGACAGTGCTGGTGGGGATGCCCTTGGCAGCTTGATGGGGTTTGATCAGCTCCAGCTCGGCATAGGTCAAATTTTCCTCAGCAATCTTTGGCTATAAAAGAAAAAACACAAAACAATTCTAGCGATTGCATGGAGTTCAACATCACACATTCATTCATCAAGTATGCATTTTCTTAGCATTTTGGGAATTTGGAGAGGAACAAATGGCCAAAAAGTTTAAAAGGATATAGAAAACCCAGTAACATAAGTAATAATATGATAGATCTCATTGACTTATATAGAACACTATGCCCTGAAAGAGATCCTGTCATTTGTTTTCAAGTCGACATGGAACACTCACAAAAAATGATTAAACACAAGGCCAAAAAGAAAATTTGAATTTTGAAGAGTAAAAATAATATAACTAACAATCTCTGATCAAAAGAAAAATATAAGGATGGAGTTAGAAATGAAAATCTTAGAATTTAATAAGAAAACTAGAATGCTACCACCTAGACATTTTTGCAAATGATTTAACCCGTTTAAAACTAAAATATATGGTTGAAGCAGTGCTCAGAGAAAAACCATAGCCTTAAATACTTATATTAACAATATGAATTAAATGAATCAAGCATCCAATCCAAGAAGTAAGGAAAAGAAGAACAAAATAAATTAAAGAAAAGCAGAAGGAAGAACCTAATAAAAATAAAATTAGCCGGGCTCGGTGGCTCAGCCTGTAATCCCTCACCTTTGGGAGGCTGAGGTGAGCGGATTGCCTGAGCCCGCGGGTTCGAGACCCGCCTGGGCAGCGAGACCTCATCTCTACAATCAATCAAAAAAAATCAGCCGGGCGTGGTAGCGCATGCCTGTAATTCCGGCTACTCGGA